ACGGCAATAAGTGGCTAATGGTGTGCTAAGCGTGCCTATGTGCTAAGCTAAACATGATTACCTTAAACATGATTATCCTTAAGCTACGGAAAATTTGACCCTCGATCATTAGCTTACCATAAGCACGGCAATAAGTGGCTAATGGTGTGCTAAGCGTGCCTATGTGCTAAGCTAAACATGATTACCTTAAACATGATTATCCTTAAGCTAATCCTCATTAGTTATAATTAATCATCATTAATATTAAACTAATCATGATTATCTTTAAGCTAATCTTGATTAATTAATCTAAACATAATTAAGTTAATTAAGCAAGGGTTAATGACGATTACTTAATTAATGATTGACGGTGTACCAATGTGAACGCGTTGCTGTATAGGAATGACGACGTCCATATATGGTAACCTTAACCGAACGTACTCGTTTTCGGTTACAACTTGATCTTGGAACTTAATTCGGATATTATCTTGACTTAGACGATTAATCCGAACATTAATATTTCGAATAGTTCGTCAACTTGGCTTATTAATTCCGAACTCATTAACTAATTACATGAATTGGAATTAAATCTGAAAACTCATTCGATTATCAAATCGAATAACGTTTTGACTAATAGTCGAACTTAAAATATAGTTGGCTGAATCACTGGACTTGAATCATAAACATAATTATTTATTAACAAAGTCTAGCTTTAAAATTAAAAGCTAGTATTTTCCTTTATTAATAAAACTCAGGGTATAACAACCTACCCTCCTTAAAATATTTCCGTCCTCGGAAATACTAAAACTGAAATGTACAAGCTTAACATGAAGCCTATACTTATCGCTGATATGACTTGAAAATTCAGTATCAAATACTGAACATTAGACTTGATCTCAACTGAGAAATCAACAATTCACATTTAAGTGAGTTGATGATTAACACGGACTGAAACGGGACACTTTTATAAAATAAAGTGTTCCGTTTATCATACTTAACATTTAAAACATAATTCTTAAACATATTGGTCTTCATCTCCTGGTTGGTTGTTGCTCTTCGGTCTGAACGTCGGTTGTAGTAACTCCCAGTCGTTAGTACTCCTGGAAAATTTTAGAGATATGCACATGTACAAATGAGGATAACTAGCAATCCTGGCAACTACCTTTCGTGAATGTCTACTCGATACGCGGCACATCGTTCGCAGTACATTGTAATGCGGCATACCTGCTCCCCATCAAGTGAGTGCGGCACACCTGCATACAGCACCTGGCGAACATTGTACCTGCGATGTCGATGTAGTCTGTATGGCTGATCATATCTGTAACTCGGCTAGTAACGTCAATGTACTATAATGCTAACTCTCCGTGACTTCCCAGTGTACTGTGACTCAACATGGTATGGCATCCTTCTCTTCTGGCGTCATACATACTTGAATGGAAGGTTCGGTTGTCATCGTGGCATGATCTGTTGCTGTTGATTGATCTTCTCCGCCGTGTCGTATGTCGACAGGTTGTACCTGCAACTGTTTACTTTCCCTGAGGTCAAACATAACCTCAAGAAAAGTTTATCATAAACTGATAAGTCTTGTCTTATTAGACAGACTATCCTTGACTAGACATGACTAGCCTGAGCATTCACATAACTGAATATCCAGGACTTGACTTTTACATGACTGAATCATTCTTTATCTGAATCTTGAAAGCTATTCCGAGACAATTTAAAATAATCATCTAAGAATTTGGAACATGACATTTACTGACTTACTTGACTTGATAAGGTGCGACTTCAAGTTTCCAGGTAAAACTGGACTGATAGTCTGTATTACAGACCTTTATTTTTAACCCGGCTGAACAACTATTATACGTCGACCTTAACACATGAACATTGCCTTTGAATCATGAACATTGGCTCATGACTTTGTACTATATAGGGCTGCTCCAGTATCAACTGGTCCCGCAAGTACAAAAGAAATAATTAACTGATCTTGAACTTTATCAACTAAACTCAGAGTACCTAACTGGTAAGATACCCGACTTACTGACTCTAAAGGTTGTTACTTTCTGAAACTGTACTGCTCCTGTCTCAGCTTCAAGCCTCCATGGTATACACGGCTTAATGGCTCTTATTTCAAGCCTCCATGGTAACCCGGACTTTTGGCCCTTATACACTGGAAACCGTTACTTTAATAATAACTTGAAATTTTTTAATAACCTTTAACATGAAAAATTTATGCCTTGAACTTGATTTACTGACTTGACTTAGGAAAATTGAACTTATTCCCTGATCTAACTTAAGGAATTCCTTTCTGAAATCTACGAACTGGTTGGCAAAATGGGAAATTTTTTTATAGAAAATGTCTGAGGAACATGAATGCTAAGATTTGTATAACATAAGTGCTTACAAATCTCTTGACGAGTCGTAAACTCGACCTGAATAAATCTAGAATCGAATCTAGAGTTCTCAATCTTAGCCCCTTTCTAAGGTTCTGAAATCGGACTCGAACATCCTTACTGATGACTTTATTGAAGCTGATCAATAAAGAACACAAATTTCTTGACGAGTCGCTAAACATGACTTGGGAGTACTGACATAAAATTCCGAGTATACTGACTACTGATCATGAACATAATTCGAGCATCTTAACTATATCATAACTGAGAAATTTCTGAGCATAGAAATAGTAAATTGTTTATAATTTAAAACTTAATCAGCACTTACCTGGTAGTTGGCGAGGCGTGAGAATGACGTGTTCGGGTTTTTCTAAAACTTTCTGTCTCGTGAAGTATTCAGATACACAAAAATGTGCT